TTGCCTCCTCAGAGGGAACATGAGCATGTGATAACCCTGAGGTCGGGAGTTTCTCTCATAAAGGTGCACTCATATCGCTACCCTCAGGTGCAAAAGGATGAGCTAAATAGATTTTTATGAGAGAGGTTGGAGGCAAGGGTCATACAACATAATGTGAGCCTCTTCTCAAGCACAATCTTGCTAGTGAAGAAAAAGGATGAGTGTTGGCATTTTTGTATGGATTATAGAACTGTGAGTAAGAAAACCATACCTTAAATTTTCCATCTAAGTGATTGATGAGTAGGTGGATGAGTTGTTTGGGGTTGCAGTATTTTTCAAGTTTGACTTGAGGTTATGATACAATTAGATCCATATGCGACAATCAGATGTGCAACACAAAACTACTTTTCAAACTCTCATGAGGATCAATAAATTTTTAATATGCCATTGGAGCTCACCAACACCCTGACTCCATTTCAATCTCCAATGAAAAAGGTGTTTCAGTCTTTCCTCCGAAAGTTTATGTTGGTGTTCTTTAATGATATCATGGTGTATAGCTGTTCCTTGAAAGATCACGCTGATCCCTTCAAGAAGGTGTTGACGGTGAGCATTAACTTTGTGCTAACTTGAAGAAGTGTTCATTTGCCCAACCGAAGGTGGAGTAATTATGACATGTGATTTCTGTTCTAGGCTTGTTGGTGGATCAATCGAAGATGATGACGTGCTAGATCGGCCATTACCAAGTCCTTGAAGTGGTTGAGGGAATTTATGGATACTATCGGAAGTTCGGGAAGGTTTACAGCTTGATTGCGTGGTCATTGACAGAGCAATTGATGAAGAATAACTTTCAGTTGAAGGAAGCAATGATCCAACCTTTTGAGAAGTTAAAAAGGTTTTGGCTAGTGTACCAAAACTTGCATTACCTGACATCATCCAACTATTCTTTGTAGAGACAGATACTTTAGGCTACAGATTAGGCACAATCCTCATGCAGTATTAATGACTCATCACTTATGTCAGACAAATGCTGACTATGAGAGGATGACCCAAGTCAATTTATGAGCGGGAGCTTATAACAATTGAGCTTGCTATTTAGAAATGACGACTTATTTGTTAAGATGGTGTTCTACAATATGCATGAATCAATGCATCCTTAAATTTCTATTAGAATAGCATGGTGATTGAGGAACATTATAGATGGCTATCTAAGGTACTAGGTATGACTTTGAGATTCAGTATCACCCAAGATTTGAGTATAAAGTCGTTGATGCTTGATCATGACAGATGAAGGAACCTCAATTGTTGACATTGTCAATCCCTTTAGTTTTAGATTGGGAGGTCTTGTGGTAAGAGAGTAAGGCAGATGAGGAATTGGGCAAAATCTGGTCGGCTTTATCGATGGGCGAGAACAACTATTCTGTTATTCACTGAATGGCTAACATTCACTTTACCATGGACATTATTTATTTCCCATAATTCAAGACACACGCCAAAGTTATTACAGGAGTTTTCTGGCGGCGCTATTAAGGGGCATTCGGTTCATGCTCTGAACATACTAAAAAATAGCAATAGAATTGTTTTTTGTGGGGATGAGAAAATAGATAGACATCATAACAAAGTGTGATGTGTGCAACGACAGAAGTACATGACATTAACACTTGTGGGATTGCTACAACCTCTAGCATTATCGGAGAAGAAATGGGAGGAGGTGACGATGGATTTCATTGAAAGCCTACCCCAATCATAATGATTTATCATCTTGGTGGTGGTGGGTAGGTTGAACAAGTACACTCACTTTATCCATCTACATCATCCCTATACTATTATTTTTGACACCATTGTTTTTATATAGGAGGTTTTTTTTTTGGATGGGATTCCAAAATCAATAGTGTTGGATCAAGGCAAGGCCTTCTTGAGATATTTATGGAGGGAGCTGTTTAGAATGCAATGGATTATATTGAAGTAAAGTACAACATATCATTGACAGACTGATGTACAGTCCAAAGTTGTTAATCGGAATGTGAAGACCTATTTGTGTTGCTTTGGATCGACACACCCAAGTAGTGTGCTAAATGTCTGCCTTGGGCAATGTGTTGGTACAACACTTCGTATTGTACAACTTCTCAAACTACCTTTTAAAATCTTGTATGGTCGCGATCCATCCTCTTTGGTGCATTATGGACACAGTACTACGTCGGAGTCTTTGGTGGATCATTACTTAGAAGAGAGGGACAATGTTTTGGCAAAAATGAAGGGACATCTATTGAAAGCTCAACAATTTATGAAGAAACAAGTTGATAGACATCGAAAGGATGTACAATTTACGATAGGAGATAGGGTGTATCTAAAACTTCGACCCTATCGGTGGAAGACATTGGCAAGACACATGAATGAGAAGCTCTCCTCACACTATTGTGGTTCTTATGAGAACACTCAGCACATTAGTGTAGTGCAGTAACTTCTCATTTAAAATTACCGCCTTCGTCAACATTCCATCCGATGCTTCACATATTGTAGCTGAGATGTGATATTGGTGATAATGTGACCTCTTATTCACTTTCCACTATTTTGACTGAGGATATGGAAGTTCTCTTGGAGTCATTGGAGTTAAAAGTATACCAGGAATCGATCGGTGGGAAAAAAGTGTTGATTAAATAGAAAAGGGTGTCAGATTATGATGCCATGTGAGAGCCATATGCTTGATCCAATAACAGTTTTTTTTTCCAACTTGTGGCAATATGCTTTATTGGGAGGGGAGTAATATTAAATCAACACCTACGACGGACCTATTTTAGGTGCAAGACTAAAAGGGCAATTTAGTCGTTTGTTAGTTATTTTTGTTTAGTATAAATAGCGCTTAATATAATTAGAGCTAGGGTGACTGATTATTTTCTGTAATCTTAGAAGTTAGGTTTAGGAGAGAATTGCCTACCACTCAAATTGTAGGTCTATTTTCATGTATTTGTAATTGTGTTGTTTTGTGCCATTGGTGTATAATATTTTATTTTGCCCTAATCTCTATGGAAACGTATCTCATTCCTTTCAAAGTATTTTTTAATTATCTATAATTCTCATTTAATTGGTTAAAATTTATCATATAAGACTTAATTTTATAAATTATGTTAATTAAATTTAATATTATGACTTTAAATATTTAATCTAATTAATATGAGTTTAATCAAACTAATCTATAATAAATCCATCACTTTAGGTTGCTTGGGAGCTCAAACTATAAAACTGTTTTTTTGTATGTAAACAATAAAATACTAAATCTCCTCCATTATGTGGAATTAAAAAATTGTATGCTGAAATATGAGGGGTTGTGAAAATAAAGATTTGTGCTGTTAGAATTGAGCTTTGGAAATATTAAATGAGTTACAGAATATAGGAATATTATAATAAACTTTTACTTTTTAAGTTTTTTATAATATAAAATTTTAATTCTTGCTAGTTATTATAAATTATACTTTTAGTATTAATTATATTTCTACTATATTATTTTTTATATTTATATGCCTATTAAAGTATATTAAAAATATATTTTAAATATATTTATTATGTAGTAATATATTTATTTATTTATACTTCATATGCAATTTATAATTATTAAATATGTTTCTTTTGTTAAATTTTTGTTTATTTTTTTCTCACATTTTTATCATACATTTATATTATTGCATAATTTAAATCATATTAAATATTTTTAATATGATAATTTAAATTATATTAAGTAATTTTAATATTTATTATATTATTCGGTTTAACTTCCGATTCAACCCTAGTTGCACTTTTGAACCTGAAATCTCTTCTAGTTAAATAGTTGGTTTGATTTTCACAATTTTGGCACGGACCACTCCGCTCGTGTGCAGTTGAAGCCCTCTTCTCATGATTGCATGTGATATCTGCTTACATCATCAATCTCAGCTTTTCTCTAGCCCTCACTCTTGCCTTCTCTTCCTCTCTTGCTCATTTTGACTCCCTTCTACGCTACACATTTGATTCACTCCTCAACTACCTCACAGACTCAGCCATCACTTGTCTCTGCTTAATATCGCACTTTAGCTCTCCCTTCCACTGCTTTGCCTTCCTCATTTCATCTTGTCTCGTGTTTAATAACAACGAGCAGATGAATGCCAGTTCAATTGAATCAACAAAGACCTATAAGTTTTATTCATTGTAGAGAGGAGATCTAAGCGAGTTATTTGTACTTTTTTGGTTCTTCATAGTAGAAATTTTTTAGTAGTGTGGCTCTGTGGTCTTTTCTCGTTCTCGGGTTTTTTCACGTAAAATCTTGTACTTATTTTTCTGGAATTTTTTGTTGTGCTTCTGTTCGATTTCTTTTTCATTCTGAATTTCTAGAATCAGTTTCTAATTGTTGGAAACCATAGTAGAAGTATATCAAAAGTCCATCCCAACATCACATACCCGGACCTATACTATTCCATATCTCCACCAAGTAAATCCTAGAATCTCCTTCACCTATACAAAATCTACTTTCCACAACTGTCGCGTCATCATCTAATATCATCTAGAGATGAAGAGAGATCCAATCCAGCTTCAAAATTCCACCATTACCACCTCATCCAAAATACTAGGGCGACAACATTCTACAATAAAACATAATTAAAATCATGGTTGTCCCTAGGAGTTTTTTGTATAAAACAATAACTCAACGTATTTTGGATGTGTGGCACATATTTTATCATTGGCTATTATAATCATCTGTTAGGGGGCTCTATTATGAGTATTTGTTTCAGCTAAACCTCAGTTTTGATTTGCCAAATGTTATCTGCTAGATTGTTCAGGAAAAGCAAATATTTTATTTTCAGAATAATCCATAGTAAATGCTCTTCCTTCCAATAAACCAACTAGACATTGTTCCTTATAAACTTTTTCATGACAACTTTTTTAGTAATCTCGTAATAACCCTTCTGCAAATTTAAATTATAATTGTTTATTTTCTGCAACTGAGTCTGCTTAACTCCAACAACTCCATGGGCTGACCTTCTGTCTTCTGTCAGCAAGTATTTGATCATGACCTGCTCTCTGCTGATGATATAATGGGAGAGGCCGAGATTGACCTGCAACCATTAATCACATCTGCAATGGCATTTGGAGATCCCGACTCCCTAGCCGACATGCAGATCGGCAGGTGGCTGAGATCACAGGACAATGCCCTCCTCAAGGACAGTATCGTCAGAATTGTCAATGGGAAAGTGAAGCAGGGGATGTCTCTCAAACTCCAGCTTGTGGAATCTGGGGAGATTGACCTGGAACTGCAGTGGATTGCTTTGAGTGAATGAGCAGGCTTTGAAACATTTCTGCATTGGATCATTTGTCTTTTATTGGAATTTGTTTTATTTATCAGGTAATTACAGAAATTTAACAAAGCTGAGCATTACTGTTCCTGCATTTCTATTTTTATTTTTTATTTTTTGTTTTGTTTTTTTTTTTTAATTTCAGGACTGGTGATAGAGCGTAGTCTACTTGTTTAGTAAGAATGTTTTTGGTTAGTCTACGCTGTATCACGTCCGTTCTCTGGAAACAATATTTTCTCCCAATAATGAGGCAATAGGTGTCGCTGCATTTGGGTTATGGAATGAAAGACTACTCATTATTAAACTTGAATGATATTTAGGACGAATCATATGAGATGATAGCTTTTATTATAATTTTATTTAAAAAAAAATAGTTCCACATTATTACTGATTGAACGAAGGACTGTAGACAAGTTAACGCGACATTTTATAAAATAATTGTGCGCGCGCACCCCTTGAATGCTGATTAAAATCTTCAAGAGAGCAAAAAAGTCGTGTTAACCACAAGTACTTCTAGTGATGCGATTTGGATGTGCATTTGGCCTCTTTATTTTGTTCGATATAGTAATCAATTAAATTGTTTGATTTTAATTATAAAATTCAAAAAAATTCAATTATCTTAACAAAATTTTGAAGTTAAATTTTAGTTTGACATTTTGGTATAATTTTGGAGGAATGTGTGTGCTTATTTTTAATAATAAGTTAAATGTCGAGGACAGTATCGTCAGAATTGTCAATGCCTTACAAGATAATCTAAACGAGAAGATCAACTCTTCTGCATTTAGGGGCTTTCAACCCTCCCCACACTTGAACGAAGTTTCCAATGCTGCTGGGATTCAGAGAGATGCGAGAAACAAAAGAGTCTTCATTATACTGTTATACTCAATAAATGTGACAGATGAAATGCTTTTCTTCTGTTTGAGTAAGGCCAAGACTACATTCTAGGTTTCTACCTCTATTATTTAGGCCTAATTAGTTACCCCTAAGGGTCAATTAGAACAAAAGGGAATCAACTCAATTAAAAAAAAATGTCCATCTCACAATATCCTTGATTTTAAAGATGAATTTATTAATTGGGATTAACTACTCATTTAGATAGATATAAAGAAAGAAAAAAAAAAAAAAATATATATATATATATATATAGAGAGAGAGAGAGAGAGAGAGAGAGAGTCAAGCTCAGAAGTTCGACTCCTCCATGGTGGGCTGGTTGGCCATGAAAAGGTTTGATTGGGGATATTTCTGGAAGCACTTTAGTTTTATTTCCTTTCTATTTTATGTTTCTTTAATTTTATTTCAAAATTATTTCTTTTTTCTAATTTAAACAAGATGTATTTGGGTTTATAAATTAGGAGGGATTGGTTTCACTATATATATATACAAATACCCTGAATAATGAGTGAAGTACTTTTTTCCTCCCAGAGATTATTTTCTACATGGTATTAGAGCTTCAGGTTCGATTTCAACAGGATTAGCTCATCTTTTGATCGACCAACTTTGACTAGATTGCTCCTTTGCATCCTGCATCTATTAGCAAATGCTTCAACCTATCATTTCCTGTACTCGTCATTTGAATCATTTGTTCTTATGAGCCATATATGTCGTCTGTTTACCATCATCTGAATCGCTTATCGAGATCACCCTCCTGCTATCATTGAATCACACGTCGACTCTATATGATTGCACTCTTCAAAGTTTCCTCCAATTCCATCACATCGTCTGCGTTGATTAGAGCCTAAAACAAACCCTAGCTTCCCCTGTCGTCGGAACCCCTCCAATTTCTTTTATTAGCTTGCAGGGCACACCATAAACCTTTCCTTCCCTACAATCGACACACATGCTGCAGATTGCAAGCCCTCTCCTCTCCATTGCATCCAAATATTCCCATTGCAGGTTCTTTATCGACTCTTCTTTGCAACATAAATTCTTTCAGCTATACGCTCAGCTAGAATTCTCCCTACAAACCCTCCTTTGTTCTCTACCACCTAAGTCTCCCTACAACTTGAATCAGTCCTGTTTCATGCCCTCCTCTGTTGGAAATTTAAAAACCAGTTTTAATTTTTATTTGAAAAAAAATAGTGTCATTCGAAAACAGACGTGTCGTGTACGGGGAGTATAGAAAGATCTCGTTTCCCTGATAAGATAGAACCAAGAACTATAAAGATAAATGTGATCTGATTTATATTATAACTTATTTAATTATTTAATGAAATGCTCTTAAGTTACATTAAAGTTTGTGAATAAAGATTGCTGATTGTAATAGAGCAAGTCAAGTAGCACTGCAAAAGGGAGGAAACTTCATTCTGCTGAAGTGGTTTGAGTTGAATCGATACATACAAGAAAATTTTAGATTGAGGAACACTCAAACTCAAATTGAAGGGAGAATTTGTGACTTCATTAAAATTAAGAGTTTAATTGAAAGTAGTTTTATAGTCAAATTAATAACAAATTAAATATTAATATAACTTTTATTGCATAATAACATCATAAATCTGAGGTGGGATATTATTCAGAAAACAAGAAGAATTAGCCACATTATGAGATTTTAACAAGCTTAAGTTATTAAGTTGGAAGATTAATAAGAGTAAAGGGGTGAAAGGTTAATATGAGTAATTATGGCTCAAAATTTCAGTAATATTTTTTATTTCAAGATATATTTTCTTATTTCAGTTTTTGCACTTTATGTTCTATATCATTGAGCTTCAGATTAGAATTAATTCTTCATATTGTTATGTATAGAGCATGTATATTAGCAATTATGTATAATTAGTTGTGTTATAGTTTTCCTGACAAGAGATTTTATGACTAAATAATATATAGATTTTACAATAGGTGCATTTACCACTTTATTACATGACCTATAGATTTAAGTATATATGTATATATTCATAAATAAATAGAGGTAAATAATTTTATTAGAAAAAATGCATGATATGAATGAATGAAATATTGTATATATGAATGCTTATATATGCATTCTGAGAAGAGGAGTACATCTTCTTATCGTACAGGCAGACGACGCTAGTGTACCAGCGTGGATGCATGATATGAATGAATGAAATATTGTATATATGCATGCTTATATATGCATTCTGAGAAGAGGTGTACGTCTTCTTACGGTACAGGCAGACGACGCTAGTGTACCAGCGTGCTGGATATTTTCCGATCACCCTAGAAAATTGTGATGTTTAAATCGCTAATCATTATGCCAACGAAAAAATATTAGTTAGAAGTAAGTAGACATCATTCCATCTCAGACAATCATGTAAATTATATCATGAAACTGTATTGTCGATGAAATAATATCGGTTAGGGGTGTGTTAGGTTATGTTTTGACAGCGCTCCAAAGAAAGATGCGAAAGTTAAAAATATGATGTGTACTAAAGTTTAAGAAATTACACTTTGAAAATTAATATAAAAGATAATACATGTAGAAATTTTAGGTTTCTTTCATGAGCAAACATCAAGCATATATATCAAAAAATTATTATATGATTTTCTATAATATATTAGCAAAGAACAACATGCATATTGCTTTCTTTTCCTTGCGTTACTATAGTTTATAAATGTTTATTTTAAATAACTTACTATGTTGTTTTACTAATTTTTTCAGCTTTAAGCTTTTAAATAAAACGAATACTATAGAAGCTAATGTATATAGGAGGTGTGATCATTAATCAGAAAGGTAAAAATTTAACTTGCAATTTAATTTACTTTATTTATTGGCTCTTTCAATAAATCTTTGAATATTAATTGTTAGTGATAGAATTAAAAATATAAAAACTTAATTCCAACTTCTAACTGTCCATTCCTATGTTAGTTAATTTCTTGTCCCGGGTTTGGTTGTGATAAAAGTGGTATCAGAGTAAAATGTTTAGATTAAACAACATAAATCTTAATGAAAGGCTCATTATAATGATTAAATTAAAATATACATTATATAATTAAAATTTTAACAGAGTCCAATTAAATTATTTTTGTTGTTATTTCAAAATTATGGATGATAGGAGGAAAAAGTCAGGGATGATGTGGTAGACATTGACATGCCTCAGAATGTCACAACCAGTGTTGATGCATTTTCTGATATAATGAATGTTTTGACTCAACTGATTAAGAATTTTCAATCTCAAGCTAGTAGTAGTGGAGGAGCAACGATGGATAAGTACTTGAAGCTCTTTCAGGATATGAGCTCACCTTCATTTTCTGGAGCAAGAGGGTTAGTGGAAGCTGAAAATTGGCTAATAAGGGTAGAGAAAGTTATAGATTATAATGACATATCTACCAGAGAGGAGAGTTACCCTTGCTATATTTGCCTTCGAGGAGTAAGCTGAGAGATCGTGACAAGATCAATTATAGAAGAAGTTTGGTGGTCGACCTAGCCTTTTTATACAGCCGAACGAGTTCGTGAAAACCTTTAGAGATTTATTTGTAACACTGTTATTTAGAAAACATATGCAAGATGAATTCATTAGGTTGGTGCAGAGAGATCGAACGGTTATGCAGTGCGAAGAGGAGTTTACTATATTGTCGAGATATGCATCATAACTCATTCCAAATGCAGCGGAGAAATGTCACAGGTTTCTTTCTGGATTGAAAGATTCAATCAGGCAGCCACTAATGCCACTTAGGATTGAGGGTTATCTAGTGCTAGTGGAGAGCCTAAGGCAAGTAGAAATTGATTTTCAACAGAATCAAAAGTGTAAGGAAATATACAAGAGGAAAAGTTAGAAAGAAGGGACAACAATAGTTTATCCTTGAGAGTTCAACAGAAAGAAGATAAAGCCCCATGATTAAGTTATTAGCCAAACTAGCAACATCACTATATAGCCTTGTGTGAAGTGTGGGAAGCAACATCGTGGTGAAGGTCTATTTGTTATGAAGATATGGTATTTATGGAGATAGTCTGAACATTAGGTAAATAAGGCTGATACTAGAACAAGTTCAAAGATCAATGGAAACAAAAAAACAAACTTTTATTAGCACTGAATTAGAGTTTACAACATGACACAAATTAGAAAGGAAATTAAAACAAACAATAATCTCGGGTTAGGGCCCGGAATAAAAGTTATGAGGGCGGCGATAAAGGTGGTGTCGACAAAAAGATAAGGGAAAGGGGAAGGGTTTTAATGGACTGCTTAAGGGTTAGAGTGGGGGCGACTGGGTAGGATGCAAGGACAATAAGGGAGGGTACTGGGTGCAGATGAACTAGTAGAAACAATAGGAATAATGTTTGTAAGGGGGTCAGTTGGATGTGGTGTGTGGTTTGAATTGAGAGACAATAAGGGTTCTTATAGGGAAGAGGGATGATAAGGTGCAGGAAGGCAACCTAGAGGGTTGGGCGACCAAAGTAGATGTAGAGGAAGGGAGTATGGCGTACTGACTGGATAGTAGGTTTTGTGGCAATAGAGGGGTGACATGGCTGCTGGAGGGAGATAGGAGTGGTCAGCGGCTGGGGAAGAGGCAGGAAAAAGGTTAGGGAAGATGACAGGAGGAGATTGAAAGGAAACATCACTCTCTTAGAGCCGGATACAACTGAAACACCACCCGTTATTAGATACAACACTAGCAAGGAGAGGGAAACTCCAAGGAGAACTCTGAAATCATCAAACATACATAATCTTGCTATAAGTAAGCAAACCACATATTTATAATAACTAGGAGATAAAATAAAAAGGGAAGGCCTGTCCCTTATGGGCAACAATCAGAAAGGAAAGGAAAGGGAGGGGCGACAATCACAACAAAAAAGGGAGGGTGGCAATCAGATGAGGAAAAGGAGGGGGAAGTTGGCGGCAAACTAATAAAGAAAGACGAGGGTCAATCCTGCTTCCAAGGTGTTGGGTCGTCCAACTGAAGGCTGGACTAATCGCCATGATGAACCCACCAACCGGTTCAGCCGGCTAAGCCTAATGCCAGTCTGACCGACAGCCCACATTATTCAACTGACCCCAAAGTGACTATCACCTGGATTATACACCCAATGAGATGCCTTTTGAGGCTCCCGACACTATTAAAGCCTATTGCCTTAAACACCCCCTACCATCATTAGTTAATTAGGGGTAAAGATGTAATTTCATGGTCTTTATATCCATAATAGGAGGCTCATTTCATGAATACAGTTACGCAATTCCACTGCTCTTTACTGTGATCTCTCTACCCTTTTCTTCTCTACAAGGCTCTATTCCTAGAGTGTGTCTCTCAGACAGTTTTGGATTCAATGTATATATATAAAGAGAGAGAGAGAGAGAGAGAGAGAGAGAGAGAGAGAGAGAGAGAGAGAGAGAGAGAGAGAGAGAGAATTATGTGCTTCCACAAGTTGTAAATAATAGTTGTCATCTAAGAAACCAATTTTTTAGAATGCCTTCAACATTCCATATTATCAATAACATGACCTTTTCAATAATTCTTAGCATTATTTGAACTATGAAGGAAATATCTCTGAAAGCATATACACTTGAATGACATGAGCATTATATAACTACTAATTTGATGGTCTTTTCTTTTCATGTTCTATATCCTATTGATTGGCCCATGTACTACGGGCAAGGATTTTATGTTCCATCCCCTATAAATTGGCTATGAATGAGTAATGAGTTAAATTTCTTCAATAATATTTCTCTCTCTCTCTCTCTCTCTCTCTTTACTTTTTATATACTTGGTAAAAATCATAAAGGGTTTTAAGATCTTTAATCATTAAAGAGTGTAAAAAAAAGTCATTGTCAGTCCAAATGCTCTATGAGGCTTACAGTTGAATATCTTGACTCTTATTTCTTAAAGAGCTCTAAAAAAAGGTCCATGAGTTAATGGTTTCACCTTTAAAAATCTCTTAAAGAAGTCAACACTATGAGCTTAAAGGGCCAGAAAAAAAAACACCCATTCGAGAATCATAAGGCTAAGTAATATGCACAAAAGAGGCTTGCAATTGAATCTCTTTAACTTGTATTATCTAAAGAGCTCAAACAGAAGGCTCATAGTTGACTTTTTGAATCCTAAAGATATTCCTGGAAAGTCAACGATATGAGCAAAACATACTTTTCTAATTTAAATGTCCAAAAATAAGGTTGCAATTGAGTCGCATAATTCTTCATTGCTGAAATATCATCAAGGGTTTCATATTTCAATATGGAATACATTCATTTTTTAATCCCTAAGAGGACAATGCTCTCATCAATTAGAGGAAAAAATACTGTCTCCAGAGTCTGGATGCAAGCTATGTTAAGACAACGGATGCGATACACTGGGGGCGGGTTTTTTTTTCCTCCTTCGCTCTGTCCAGTGTATCGCGTCCGTTGTTCGAATGTTGCTTTCCACTAGATTCCGAACACAATATTTTTTTCCAATTAGAGAGCATCAACAAATGCTTATAATTGAGCAATTTCACCATTTAATTCCTTGGAACTTTTATATGAAGAGAACCCAGAAAAGGGAAAAGAGCACCACATATGAATTAACAGGAAAAGAATTGTGATGGAATAGTTTCATCCTTCAATGCATTCCAAAGAACTCTTAAGAAGGCATTCCAAAGAAGGGAAAAGGTCATTAAATTGACCACACAAAATGCACACACTTGAGTTGCTTCAAATTTCATTACTTAAAAAATAGGGACACTTACATACATGCCGCTCGATTTCAACGCATTTACATATCTAACCCAAACTTTACTTTTGCGTTTATACGATCCAAAACTTTCATCACATAAAAAAAGTCACTATTTTAAAAGAGTAAAATACACCATTTCATGCATAGACAAGGGGACATACATATAAAATTGAAGTTCAGGATTTAGATATGTAAATACATAGGAATTGAGTAGTATGTAAAATCTTCCTCAAAAATATCCAAGAGAAGTCTTAGAAAAGGATCGTGATTGAATTTCGTCACCGTATCGATTCTCTGCATCTCATCATTAGCACCTGTCAAGGGTGGGTAGAGATGTATGGGAAGGAAATCCTTCATTAGACCTAATAGGCATTCTGCAATTCAATAGACCTCTAAGAGCCGCTACATCATCAGACAATATAAAAAAAATATTATAAGATTACCAAGTGTCAAGGGACTGACTCAATTGTGTTTCAATCATCTAATTGTTGAAACAAGCACGATAAAGATAATGTCTGAACCAAACAACATGGCCAAAGCCTACTTAGAAAAAACCTCTCGAATTAGATCGGATCAACCAACTTCAACGGAAGTAACCATACATGCCTACAAGATCTACATAATCGTATGTGTTGCTGAAGCTGCACCTGCATCATTATCACCATCTATTAAGGGATATAAGTAGTGTGTTTCATCTCACATCATTTAGTTTAAATTTATATTTGGACTTGATTTTATGGTTTGAAAGGTGGTCGAACTTTGGTCGTACTTCAATTTTACACTGCATAGTAAGTGATATCAAAGCTAATCATTCATGAGTGATTCATGAAATGTACAATAGCTAATCAGTAATTCTCATGTCTTCCAAAATGGTCAACTAAAGTTCAAGGGTGTCTCCTACTTAAGCAAGATTAAGTGGGATATATATAACATAAAAAACCTTATGTTAGAGTGGGAGTTATGGTTGATATAGATACCTCGCCTAAAAAAGAGATTATTGAAGCACTAAGATTGTTAAATTTATTTCAATATCATATAGCAGAAAAATACATTAAGTTTGGAAAGAACAACTAATTTGCATTTACCCATATGCTTAAACTTAAGGCTGTAAATGAGTACAGCCAAAAAACTATTAGACACAACTTGGTTCACACTTCAGCCTGAAAATGAGTACAGAAATTATTGAAGCACTATTGATTTTACCTCTCTCTCTCTCTCTCTCTCTCTCTCTCTCTCTCTATATATATATATATATATAATGATGGTTAGCTAGCCTTACAAAAATCATCTTCAAAGATTAAAGGCAATTGAACATGAATACGGCAAATCCCCTTCATTACATAATAATTGGATAGAAAAATATCAAATTCTTACTATTTAATACATGGAATGCTTTGAATCTTTCTTTCTTTTTTGAACCCATCATAATATAAAAATTAGAATTAATAAAAATAATTCAAAGTGACTTCAATGATCAGCACTGATGATTTTGTTTCTCCATAGATTAGAAATCTATGATTATTTGAATTAAGAGGTCCTAATTTCGAGGCAACAAGTATCATTTCACCAAACATTGAGCCCAACAATTTATTAAGTGATTTTTTTAATATTTTGGGAACTGGCAGCACTAAAAATGACCAACAATTTGCTTCGAAAATCAATCTTTAAGGAAGCTTTGATTTTGCAAGGAAACACTACAAGTTTGTAGCATCATTCAGAGAACTAAATCTTTTTTAACGTCTGCAGGAATCTAGTTAAACGTCTAACAGCTGAGTGCAAAAAGAAATATTCCAGCGGTGTTTTAATGCCAAGTGCCATCTACAATTTACAGAATTTATCTATAAAAAAGTACCAAAAAAAAAACTCTCTCAAGTCACATACGCAACTTAAGAGTGCTAAATAGGCAATATAACCAGTTTGAAGATGAGTTTCCAAAGCAAGCAACGAAGTATATGTGCAAATCGTACATACCGTAAGCAAGGGAGGACCTCCATTCTGCTGCGAAAATACCACACTTCGACAAATTATTAAGAACTTCAGCCTTATGCCACCAACCTTGCTTCTTCAGTATCTGGAACAACTATATCCAGTCTCATCATAGGCCTATAAGCATCAGGTATCTCTGCACCAGCCTGCACACAAACCTCTACCACAGCTGGAGCGGGAAAAGAGCACC